TAGGCTAAGGTCAAGGAAATGAAATTAAAGGAACTTTCTTTCTATATATAGTATACAAATTCTGGCTCCCTTAAGTGTATGCTAACAAATTATAGCTAATTTACTGGAAAGAATATGCATAGGATAGTCAATTTGCATTGCCTGCGTTTTCACTGAAGATAGTCGATAACATTAATGTGTTAATGTAACATTATAGGTCTCTGGGTAATATCTTGCACTGGACCTTATTTTAAACCTTGATTGTAATTCTTTGGGATGTTTTTTTTAGCTTGCCAGAAAGTATGAAACACCATGTTCTCACTTACATAAGGCTATGTTCACACACACGGCGTAAGACTGTCGTGGCTTACGCCAGGCGTAAGCTAATCCACGGATTGAAATTCCAAAGTGTTCACACAAACGGCGTTCGTTAAACTAGCAGTAATATAGGCCTATGTGGATTAGTTTTCAGTTTTAAATAATGTACGTGTTAACAGTAGTAAAATTAACAGTGCATCATGAAAACTTTTAAATCTGTGAATTGTTCGAAGTGAACTTATATGATTATTGTATTTTAAATGAACAATTTTTGAGGTCAAATCATTCAAGCATCACTGGCGTTAGCTCAGTGGCGTTAGCTAATCTGGGGTCTGCATGTAGCGTTAATAACGCCAAGGACGTGGCGTAGTGAGTGGCTTTAACAACGCCACTGCCTAGTGCACACACAAAGGCGTACGCTACGCCAGGCTTAAGCCAGTCTTACGCCATGTGTGTGAACATAGCCTAAGAAAGGATAAATGTGTATTATTTTTGTATTGATATTAATATTCAGACTATAACATTTTTTGGACAAAAAACCTATGTATGCCCATATTTATTCATGATGTGCTGATATATGGTCATGATGTCACGATTTTTACCTTTAAAAAAAAAAAAATCCAAATACCAGATTTTAATTAATGCAATGATACTAAATGGTATTACATTAATAATAAATCAATTATGAGGGAGAGTATATTATTATTAATCTACTGTGCCATTGATACACTATTGCTATATAATACGCGTGCACATACATTTAGTACTTGTTATATAGATGAGCTAACCAGAGCACTTAATCCCCTGTGACTCTCTCAGCACTCAGTCAAGTTCTTCAAACATTAGCGATTCCGTTTTGACCTACTATAAAAAAAGTGGGTCAAATAGCTTCTGACTGCTATTATTCTCTTGCTAAAGTATACTTTAAAAAAATGTGTTTAACAGGCTCGCTGGCAATCGTATATCATTATCCCTAGATATTTGTGTATTCTTGGCATATTCAAGTTAGGACTAATAGACCATTAAATGTTTATGTAATGATGATAATAAAGGGTAAATAGGTATGGTTATTAGCAAGGAAAACATAAGAAAAAAAGAAAATCAGATTTTTATTGGATTAGTGAATGAAGAAATATTTTGAAAAATTAAATCCATCATAATAACAAGCTCTTGTTATCCAGTGTAGCCTACTTTTTAGAAGCTAAACTCTATAGATTAGAGCTGTTTTCAGTGAGAAAATATATTGGTATTGCATTGCACATAATAACCCAAGACCTGAGATTGTAAAGCAGGCATCTGAAACCTTTTACAGTTCCACTGAAGTATTTATTATTGTTTACTAATTCATTTTTGTTTTGCATCACGAAGAGGGGTCTGATTTTACCACAAATGTTATATATGAAAAGGGATTAGTGAACACTTTCGCTGCAAAAATTTTATTTGTTCAACAGGTTTGAAGTGGATAGTTAAACATTCAAGATTCCAACCTTGTAGATGTACTTCAAAAAGCCCTATTGAGGTGTCAGTTTGTTTGCAAATCAAAGCTAGGCCAATTGTACAATCGGGTGCGAGAATTTCATGGCGAGATGAATTCATTTAGTAAATTGTTGATCAACTAAAATCTGTGAGTTGATGACCAAAATCAATCTTGTGTCTTTATTGTACGCTCACAACTCACTAAAAAGTTGGGAATTTTTTAGTGCGAGTAGTTAAGGTCTGTTGAGTCACTAATCATATATACAAAATTCACAGTGTAGACCTGTGGTTGTGATCTTTACTTTAGGATTAAAATTACTATTATATCCTATTATGTAGTTAAACCTTCTCTTCTGTCAGTCAACTCTTGTTCATAGCATGGATAAGCATACTGCTGAAGTTCACCTGGTGATAAATTAATCGTGCTAAGAGTATTTACATGAAAAATAGCTAATGTATTTACCACCACACCATGAATTAATAATAGTAAGTGATGGTAAATCACATATTATGTATATCCTAATCATAATCAAAGAAAGCAATGAAAAAAAGTTTTAAAAAAAACCAAGTGTATCTAGGAATCTTGAAATGGGGTAGCTGCTGGGGAGTGCAAAGGTAGAGTGGGGGATCGATAATTAAGTGAGCGAATGGTAGATCACAAAATAATGAGGTGATTTATAACTACTTGAGTGGTCTTTTACTTCTCGCATTTTCAATGGTGGAGGGAGACAACTTGGTGGGGGGGGAGGTGGAAGCTTTGTGTGAGCACCCCCTAGATATGTCACGGGAGAGTGGGCAAAAGGGAAATATTCTCATCATAATGAATGTTATTATTTCTATTGTCGTAATTGGTATTTATTATTATATGAAATATTTTGTATTTTGTTAAATATAAACCAATGTAAAAACAAAATATTATAGAGCATGTTTCTCGTCCCTTCGTGCATTCATTTTCTTTGAAGAAACGACTTTTTTTTTTTACTTGGCCTAATTAAAAAAAATGTTCAAATTGATATGTATAGCTAATAAGTAAGATTAACTTTTGTTTTTTATAGCATTCAACAAATAATTTTCTTCTACAGTAAACATGGAATTTCCAGAGTTATATTGTGATGTGTATTTGTGTTTCGTTATTTATATCATGCCTGTTGAATATTCATTATTTTTCCTCCTTTGTGTGGCATGCAGGATTCCATTGTAATGGTAAGTTAAAGATAGTCACTGTGTCTAGACAAGCTTCATATTTTTTTTGTCATATCTATTAGCAGGTTGTAATTCTTGCTATGAGTCAGTGTTCTTATGTCATTTCAGTATTGTGTGCTCGAAATTGGTGGCGCTCTTGCTATTTTGTTTTCTGCTTCTGATCTCTGATGTTTATTGATTCCTGAGTAGTAATATAAACTTTACATTAGCGTCTTGTCCACCCGGGTTTTTCATTCACGTCAAATGACAATTATAGTTGGAATAAACATTGCAATGCATTGCAAATAAAAATCCCAATAATATAAAAAGAAAATGGGCTGGAGTTAATTTTAGTCATGAGGACATTTAAAGGATTTGGACCCATGACCCTGGTATTGAAAGGAGGGCATTATTACCACTAAGGTACAAGTATAACTCCACTAAACTCAATGATAAAAGATTTATACCTAGTCATTTATTTTTACTTATGCATTTGTTTTTTTGATTATTTGTTTTCTTGTTTACTATTTTATTCTTTAATTACGACTTTAAAAGATATTTGTTTATTTCTTTAATCATGTAATACATGTTATTGATGTGCCATTTTTGTCCTCTTTGTTCACTTGAGCATGCTGGACTTAAGAATTTTTGCTTTCTTGATTATGCCTACTTCAATTTATTTATTGTGTTGTATTTTAATGGTAATTTGTAAATATTTAAAGGATATGTTACATTGGTTGTCAAATGAATTGTTTTATCTGATTTATTATAGTTAAACTGCATTAGCATAATTTTTATTTATGTTTGTGTAATTACTGTCAGCCCTAGTTTAAAGTGAATTTTATCTAGTTGGTTTTATTTTTACTTCACTTTGTTTCATTAATGTATCTGGACCTCTTGGGAGACCATTACTGAATATAAACATACCAACTATGTGCTTTTGTTGAAACATTTATGTATCGCGCATTCTTCTGGCGTGTGTAATACTGAATGCAGAGGTACACTCTAATTGTTGTGTTTATAATGAGCATTGAATAGCCTATTGATGTTGACGAAAGATCACACTTATAATAACCATCCACGCATGGAAATACTCAGTGCAAAGTGCTTTTAAATTAACTTGTATAATATTGAGGGTACTCTGTATGTTTTTGACCAACGTAATGTAGGGAATTTCACCATCAAAAGAATACCGAGTGGTTGTAACTTAAATTTTCTTTGAACAAGAGGTAAATTGTTGTAAATTCTATTTTATTAGTGTGAAAAGGCAGTTATTTACTTAACAAATTACTGGGGTGTTCCAATGCATTTGATGTTTTAAAATCTAAATTTTATCTGAGCACTTCCTCCAAAATCGTTATACCATGCATGACCATAGAGTTATATAAGAAGATTAATAATATGCACTAATTTAAAAGGTTTTTTTTGTCTTCCAAATTCAAACTTATGGATCTGCAAAATTTCATTATCTTTAAATTTTAAGCAAAGTATGTAGTGATTTTTCGCATACGCTGTGATGGGACGCTGGTCCAACCAATAAGTGGCACTCTAATGGGGCATGTGTCAATTCTGGACAGTACTTGGAGACAAATGAGCATTTCCGGGTTGTCAGATATCACTTTATTATCTTTATAATCTTAGACTTATAGTAAAGTTTTATGCATCCAAGGTATTAGTGATTTTTATGTTATTTGTCATATTTTACATATTTTTCTGAGATTTTATATATTTGTTTTTGATTTTGCTGTTGTTTATGCAATCATTAATGAGCCATAAAACCATCATGACTGTATATATCATCATTCCAAGGCTACTATCTTCAATTTTCATCTCATAAATATTAAAATGTCATCGTGTTGGTAATTCACATTCATGCATTAAATATAAACATCCTTGCTTTTTATCGTGTAATTGGATGTGATGAATTTAAACATACCCACTGACGATCAAAAGGTGTAACTTTGATTTAATCAAATTTCCAATTTGAAATCTTATTAGCATATAAAATATTATTTGTAATGTGTGATCAACTTTTATCGTTGCAGTAATTGCAGTGGAAAATCCAAGCTGTATTCTGAAGACGATTCATGGCAGCCAGAGCCTCGAAGTCTAAACGCACTGAGAGACGGCAGCGTAGAGAACGTATAGCGAGATCGCGATGTAGTAACTCTTCCCTGGATCACGAAATAGGAGAAGATTATCTTGTTCCAGGTTATAGTTCTAATGAAACACTTAAGGCGTATGAAAAAGAAGGCCTCAGTGATTTAAACACGCTGAGCCCAACAACTATTCAAGAAACAGAAAACACACCAGGTATGTGAAAAAATAATTATTAAAAGATCAAATGTAGTAATGAATCAGAACTGAAATCAGTGCACTTTTGGTTATTTAATGCATTTACTTTTTCAGCCAGCTTTTAATTTTTTTTCATATTTTTTATAAATTAAAATAAAAGAATGTGTTTGTAGAGTGCAATTTTATGAAAAAATTAAGATTAGTAGCAAGATACTAACAATTAATTCAGATTCATATTCAGAATTTATTTGTCCTCACAGTAACTTTTAACGTTCACAAATGCTCATATGAAAACACAAATGTACATTTCAAACACAACTATAAATATTGATACTATAATACATAACAATTTAAGCCGGGTACTCACTGCATATGACAGCAATGCAACGGCATTGCGACGACGTACGTACGCGACGGCGCGGAATCAACGGACCGCTTTTTAAATGAGGATCCATTCTGACTGCCACTGACAATCAGCAGACGGCTCGTTTGACGGTCGTACAACCGTCATATGACGCAGTGAGTTCCCAGTTTTAAAGATTATAAACAATCAATATATAATATATGTTTATATAGGCCTACATGAGTTGAACATACTGGTATAACATATTAGTGTAACATATTAATTTATTATTATATATGATATTGAAGGGAGTTAGCCGTTAACACTGTTCAATAAATATAATATAAATCATCAAAGGTACATATACAGTACCATATATAATATACGACAGTATTTCTAGCCGTATTGCCAGATTTATCTGGCCGAAAGCCCTCTTGAGGCGTAGCATTGTGTAATACAATGTTCCCGATGGTTATTTGGACCTGTTCAACCATGAAACCTTGGTGGCCTAGTGGTTATGACGCTCGTCTTGTCAGCGAGTGGTCGCAGGTTCGAATCCCGTCGGAGGCATTTTATTACACAATGACTTTTATAGGACTTTATTTGTTGAAAAGCTACAGGGTAGCCTACGATGTTCCATCTTGTCCTTATTTAAACACTGTACATGTACCTTTGATATTAATTTATTAGTTAAACAAAATCAGTAATTTAATTTTCATTTTAATTCATACTATATTAGTATAATTACTTGAAAATTTAGTCACTTATCTAACTTACTTATTGGACTCTGCGTATGTAGCAACCTTGATTCATTGGATAACTTACCGTATATGATAATTGCGTTCAGTCAAATCTTGCCAATAATTATCACCCATTAATTGCTTAAAGAATCAAAGCTTGATTATTGCTAGAAATATTAAAGTGTCAGTTATATATATTGACACACAATTAAGAAGAATGTCAGTAATGGTTGTCCATTTATAATTTTTCAAGGAAATGCTGATGGAAGAAAGTTGCACCTTCCCTTATGACAGTTAGCGTGTTATTCAAATACAATTTTTAAAATCCAATCAAATAATTAATATGCTTATTTAATTTCCAAAATATGAATCTATATTTAGTATAGTAATTGTGAGAAAGTATTAAATATAATTGAGTTTGAATGATTCATATCCAATCACCAACTCAACCATCTTAACAATAAGAAAAAAAAAATTCTTGTATTTTCTCATATTTTTGTTCTCACGGGCGTGGGAAAAATGATTTTGTAAAAAGAAAATTATCAAGAATATTATTACTGGCGTATTTACAATTTAGGTTATTAAAATTGACAGACGCACATGTCTTACTAGCTTCTATTGCATAAATTGCTCTAATATCCGCCGTTTACACGTGTAAAATCAGCGTGTAACCTCTGTCTGTCATGTAGTGCAATCTAATTTCAGACACAATTTCTGCATAATAATTGTGACTCGAAAGTTTCTTTTTTTCCACCTCCTCACCTAAGTATGATATGAACAGAAGTGTGCTAACATAAGTGAGAAGAACCAAACATTTTTAGCGTGAAGTAACAAATTTAATTATTGAATGAATGGGGAATGACAGGTATTTTTATTCACCCCCTCACTTTCTGAGGTCAGATTAAACGTAGTTACTTTTGTATGAAAGCAGAATTGTGGTGTTCATGATTAAGATGTTATTGAGTTAGAAACTGGCAATATCTCATACAGTTTCCGAATTTGGCAGATAAAATAATATAGAGAACTGCAAGGAAATTAAATTTTAGGAATTAAAAATATTATGGTGATATTGATAAAACTCAAAAACTAATAGGTAATGTTGTTTAAGGATATTAAACGTGGGTGGAATATTCAACTTTGACCTCTAAAATATTGGTGAATATATGGAGCTCATTATATAAGAATATCCTACAGACCTGAATGACGATTTATTAAAATACATAAAAAAACAAACTTCCAGAAACTTATCTTAATCTCAAACAAGTCCTCTCATGATGTACTGTTATATCTTTTTAACTGTTTTATTTGTGATTTTATAGAATCATCATAACAAAAATATTACCACTTAAGATTTATTGCAGTGTTTGTTCTTCTCTGGCTAGTTATATTCATCTTTATATTTTTAGTTTTTATTAAAGTATAGTTTTTATTGTATAGGTATACCACAGTATTGACATTCGTATGTGCACAATACAGCCTTATGAAAATACCACCTCACTCTTACTAAAGAATAACTCCTTATCCACTGTTAAAATGTATATTTTATTTATAATATATATTCATTGCATAAACAAATAAGTTCTATTTCAATTCTCATCATAAGTAAACTGAAATAGATTAAATAAAAACAGTTTGATTCTTGTAAAATCTATTCACCCAATACATCCGGCTTGATATTCAATCCCCAATATACAAACCTGAGACTTCAAATGCTACAACTGCTCTTGTGCATTGTTTAGAGAAACAACACGCCAAACAACGACTCGGAGAACACAGCCCATATGTTGTTACGTGTTTCTGGTGAGCACAGCAAAGATATCCATTACATCTTCTGTTTCATTAGTCATTCTGAAACATAGAGGCGATGCTTTTCACTGTTTTTCAGTACAGTTATGCTCCCATTTGTCTTATGCCTTAACACTTCCAATACTTTATGAAATGGATGTTTTTCTAGAGAGGAATGTTATTAGAACAAGTCAACGGTGAGAAAATTTAATCAGAATTGTGGAAGAATATTTTTAAAATAATAACGTTCTAAACAAAGTAGCCTAAGGCGGTGATTTCGTTGAATGGTTCAGACTTGTCAGTTAGAGACAGATTGGTAGCAATGAGAAATTAGAAACTGTTGTCTGTTTGAATTTGGTTAGGCATTGTTCACAACTTCTTAATCTCTCTTTAAAAGTATGTGTATACACAGTTTGCCCCAAAGAAAACACTTTACTCAAGTGTATTTAGTAATTGTGCTCGATCAATTAGAGATGTTAGGTGACATACGATTTACATTCCACTCCAGTTCCTGTTAAACAAATATTTTCTCCCATGTTTTTGAAACCTACTTTTTTGTATGTCGTTCCTTTCACAGTTTGGTTCTCTTTAAATTGGAAAGCTAATAAAAAGTAAACAATTAAAAATGGTCCTATGAGTTGGTTGGATATTTCATTTTATACTGACCTTAGAGGGCCAGGTTCTGCTGCCCCTGAAAGCTCTGGAGTTTTAATTATTTTAAATTTTTATCTAAATCATTTCACATTCCATCTCCCACCCCTGGGATATGGGGGATAGGTGGAGGACGGTTAGTCATCCCTTTTGCCACCCCCTAGATCTGCCACTAGGCTGATTTTGGTCTGGGGGTACAAACATTTGGAATGCATCCCTCCCCCACCTCTTCTAGCCTATGTACATTATGTTTATTACTGTAATACACATACCGTAATACATTATGTGTATTACAGTAACTTAACATTGGCAGTAAATTTTTGACGATGAATTTATAAAAAATAAAATAAACAAGGTTGGACAAGGAAGATTAAGCTAAGCTCTGTATTTTTTTTTATACGACACTAGCAGTGCGTTAGCCAGTTGTCAGTCTCATAAATGGTGTTTTTACTCTCCACAAGGACAAGCTGATTCAATTTTTTAATTGACTCTCCCTGCATGTCAACGATTACTTTAATTGAATTTATTTAATCCAACTTAATTTATAGGTATTTTTTCCTTTGAATTTAAGTGGCTAGTTAAGTTTAGAGGAAAGAGGTCTTTAAGATTAGTTAAAGGGCAACGTTTAGAATCCTTCATAATGAATAGAAAGAAAGTGTCTGCAGACAACAAAAATGTGGAAGTAGTTTTTAACCTTTCTCTTCACTTTTACGATGAATAATTATTTGTTTATATGAAGCTTTTCGGTTTTGGTTTTACCGTGAATTGCAGTTTAAGTGATTTTCTGTTACTTGCCTGATTTGATCACAAAACCATTACGCTATCTAAATGATTTCTGAACTAGTGTAGGATATGCGCAATAAATCTGTCCAAATGAATAGATTTTGCTCGATCGACTAGTAATTGATTTCGCACTCTTTCATGTGTTCAGATACCTGTTATGCTCCCTTTGTTGTGGATATCGATCGGGTCATGTATACCGTTTCAGCTTACACCTATTTAGTCTGTGTGCTTATGCTTTTCTGCCTGCCTATTCAAAGGCAGTGCAAGCATCATTAGATTTCTCGGCTATGGCACAGAATGCCATTTAAAAACTGATCATTTCACGCTTGTGGGCAGTCAGTTGCGTGAAGAGCGTGGAGAATGTTAGGCCGGTTGAAACAGCATATAATATAAACACTTTTATTGAGGAACTACAGAAGGAGTTGCAGAGCAGATCAGTTGCTAGATGAGTACCTTCGGGACAATCCAATCCAGGACATAATTGCAAATTATTAGACAATATTGATTGATTCATTGATTGACAACCATGCTATGCATGTACATTATGTGGATATACCATTAATACATTACAGGTAAAGTTCTTTGTTCTTATTAAGTTTTGATTCTCTGTGGAGTTTACCAACAGTAATTAACAGTAATGAATTGTAACAGCTTGTGTGATTGGACATTTTTTATCATGTGATCAGAAGCAAATAATTCTAAAACTGTTTACCTTT